AGAATATAGTTTTAAGAGTTAAGATTTTTAATAGTGGAAGTACAAAACAACTTCTACTAAGTTAAGTAAAGTGATCAAGTATTAATAAGATGTTAAACGTAAGGGGCGTAGACTGACCACATCTCACTCACCAGTTTGAAGAGTTAGAGGGGCAGTTAGTGAGCAGCCAGTTCGAGGGAAGCCAGATAGAGGAGGGCAGTATAAGTGTCACAAAGGATGCTTAGTCAAGGTTTTCAGTAGCAACAACATTAGAGATTATTAGTTATTTACATTTATGGTTATGAATATAGACTGGAGATCATTTTGAGATTTTAAGTATTGAGTTTGCCCACTTGTTAGGGCTTTGCTTTGAACTACAAGAGTGTGTTTTCAGTATTTTATTATGAAAAATTTCCCGCTGCAATTTAAGATTTGGTTATCTCATTTTTCAAGGGCATTTAGTAAAACTATTGCTCGCCCGAGCTAGGGTGTTACAACAATGTCGCGGAATGAAAAACGACATTGTTTGATGGGACCGAGACGGAGCAGTTCACGGTCGGCATCGATTGGTGAAAAGCGATGTCGCGGAAAGATTAAACGACGCCGCGGGAGGTATCAACGACACTGCGGTATCATAAACGATATCGTTTGATTAAAAATGATATCATAGTGGCTAAGAGCTCGGCCAAGGGTGGCCCGCTAAGTCCAACACCACTGTTATCCCAAAGCAACATCGTCACTGTAGCTTTGTTCCACATGAGATTCACGCAGAATCAAAATGGAGGCAGTTGAGACACGTGGGAGTTCACGACGGAGTAGTTGAGGAAGCAGTTTCATGGAGCGTGAAGGCTACTAAGATGTTTTTCGAATAAGAGCAGCGGAGCAAGAAGAGAGAAAGACAACAAAAAATCAACACAAGAACACATCTGTCAAACTTATCTTTTTCTCTGTAACTCCTTCGCGGAGCTCTCCTTCTAGGAAGGATCTCCATAGTTGTAGTCGTAGCATAGTCGCAGAGCTCTCCACAGGAATCTCCATAGGGGTAGCAGTAATGTATATTCCCATAAACTCAAACACCCTCGTTCAAACGTAGTTTGAAGAGGTGTGAACCGTAGTAACAGTCGTCTTGGTTAGAAGTCAGAGGTGCATCGATCAAATCAATCAGCGGTGGATATTTGACGGTCGTCTCGATTTCATCAATCAGCGGTGCATCCGATCAAACGACACCGCAAGAGTTTCCATCGCAAAACATCAAATCAACATCGCCGGAAACGAATTCGACACCGACAGTGATATTTGGTTTCTCGGGAAACATATACATATAACATATTATGATTTTGTCAGCTAGCATAATCGTACTTGATTGTGATAATGGATCGAATTGTAAACATTACAAAGTTCCTAGGATAAGTTACTTAAGATAGGAAGTTCTGGTGTGCATTTGTATAAGACTATCAGGTTATTAAGCAAAACAACCGACTTTCTTACTCTGTCTCGCCTCCCTGATTAGTTGTTGTAAACTCAGAAGCTTGAGTATAAAAGGGGAAATTCCCAGACTATAATACATACGATTTATCCTCATAATCAAGAAGCATATTCAGTTTTTTCTCTCGATCGTTCCACTCTCTCTTGGATTCTCAAGGTTTCTAACATGGTATCAAACCCCTTCTAACTCGAATTTCTTATTTTTCTTGTCTCTTTTACTTTCTTATTATGCTCTAATCTTGCTCTCTTATGGCTGAGATTAAGATTACTCACAACGGAAAAGCTATAGACGACGATGTTGTAGTTGATTTTCATGATAATCATACGCGTCGACCTCCGTTACAACAGTGCTAATATTGTCAAAAAATTCACGAAACATATGGAAAAACATTTTTTTAACTGCTGAAAGTATTTTAAAAATAAAAAGAATTAGATACGATGTATTAGTGCTTAATCACTTTGCCAAAAAGCAAACAACCGTACTAGTATTGAAAGAAGGGTTCGTGGTTTAAGACATAAAATAAAGCAGTTGGGCTGTTTGGGGATATTTTTCCGGAAATAGCATTGCTTAATTTTTTTTTACAAAAATAGCACTCAATTTTGAAAAATTTCAAAAATAGCACCCAATCATGAAAATCGCTAGGTGGGGCGCGGTTTTCGACGAGAACCGCACGGGTAGAGGCGGTTTTGCTGACCGCATGGACCGGGGCGGTTTGGTTGCGAATCGCAACCCCACCCGGCGGTTTGTAATATATATATTTTTTTCCGCATAAAAATCATAAGTGGTCTTGAAATAACTAGTTTAGTTGTTTCTCTAAGTGCAAGAAGTCCTAGTATTGAAAGAAGGGTTCGTGGTTTAACACATAAAATAAAGCAGTTGGACTTTTTGGGGATATTTTTCCGGAAATAGCATTGTTTAATTTTTTTTTACAAAAATAACACTCAATTCTGAAAAATTTCAAAAATAGCACCCAATCATGAAAATCGCTAGGTGGGGCGCGGTTTTCGACGAAAACCGCACGTGTAGGTGGCGGTTTTGCTGACCGCATGGGGCCGGGGCGGTTTGGTTGCAAACCGCACCCCTACTCGACGGTTTGTAATATATATATTTTTCCGTCTAAATGTCATAAGTGGTCTTGACAGAACTAGTTTAGTTGTTTCTCTAAGTGCAAGAAGTCCTAGGTTTGAAACAATATCATCTCATATTAAATCTGTTTATTTAGTAGAGATTAAAAAAAGCAACATGTTGTTTGAATGGTGGTTCGAACCCAGATGATAAATAGTTGACTAAATTCAGCACAACATCTATACCACCAAACAACAACTCTTCTATTGAAACAATAACATATTGACAAAGTTTTAGTCCTTGAACGCTAAAAATCCCCAATAACTTTGAATAGTCATAACTTTGTGCTCCAAAATCCGAACGTCATGAATTTTTTTTTCATTTCGCATAACTTTTTAAGACCTACAATTTTACTAGGAAGAAATTTTCAAAACAAGTATTATTTTTGGATATACAGGATTGATTCTGTGAAGAGCTTTTCCGTGAGCAGATCCAAAATCGTCCTTTTCCTAAACACTATAGGTCGAATAGACTTACTTCTTCAGACCATTGGGTTCTTAACAGGCCTTTCTCAATGATGGAGATTTAGGCGAGCGTTGCTGTTAGTGACGGGGGGAAAGCTCTGGGCCTGGATGGATTTACTTGAGTGATAGAGCATTAATTGCACATGTTTATGCTTCCATTCTTGAGCCGTTTGGGGTACGATTCTCGCGTTTTAAAACCGATTTCATGCTAGGTTGTGTGTTAATGTCATATTTTAGAACTTGGCGTGGACATGGAGGCGTGGAAACGAGTTTCGGGTCGAAAAGGAGGACGTTTGAGTGAATTGGCACTGGAAGAAGAAAATACCCGGTCAGGGGTTAAAATATCCGACCGGGTAAAATGCAAGAAGGGCGAATGGAGAACAAAAATACCCGGTTGGAACTGGAATTACCCGACGGGGTATAGACGTTTGGGACGCAAAAATTCCAGAAGGGGGCCCGCCCGGTTAGCTAAAATGCCCGATTGGGTATTCTGGACCTCGATCGAGTATTAACCCCCTAGTTGTTGCGCATCGTTTTGAAATCCCCGGCCGGGCACCTGAAATACCCGACCGGGTATTATGGCCGGGGATCGCGACCTGCTACTTTTTGGGGGAAAGAAGACCAATTTGTGAAGGGTTCCGAGTTTTAGAGAAAGAAAGCAGATACCTAGAGAGAGAGAGAGAGAGAGAGAGAGAGAGAGAGAGTGACGAACTAGAATCTCCAAGCGCCCTAGATCGATCTTCATCATCATTGGAGCTCGACTTAAGTTTGGAGAAGTGCCGATTGATTGTCAGAAGCAGAATCTCATCATTCATAGCATTTTTTCCGCATCTGAGCTAGATTTCCCTTCTCTCGCTATGGAGTAAACTCTCTCACTCACCAGGGTATGAAGAACCCTAGATTGTATGTTAGGTCTGATTGTATGAACCCAAGTATGAATTCATTGATATTGATTATATCCGATTGAGGTTTGATTTTTTGAATGGCATCAATCCTGATGAAATTCCTGTTATTTCTGCTTTGACCTAGAAAGAGAATATCCGCCTAGGTTGATAGAGAAACCTTGATTGAAGGTAGTGAATTGACGAATTTAGTCGAGGAGTCAATTCACTATTATGTACCGGATTTATTCCGGTAGAGGAGGTTTTGTTCGTTCGGGCCTCAATCTGTTTACTCCGGTGGAGGTTAGTCACCTGCTAGGAACTCAGATTGAGAGGGTCTGGAGACCTTTAGTCGAGACTGCAGACTGTCTAAGAACCTCCCGCGATATAACTATCATTGAACTTGAACTTGGTGAATTACGACCTGGCTTAACTGCAGTCTAGGGGGAACCATATCTAGGTGACCTCTCTCAACTTTGAACACAACTTTCACTGCTTTTGCTTGCTAGTTTATTTAGACCATCACTACACTTTAACTGCTAAATAATATGACTTTCACGGAGTAGTTATCACACCTAGGACCCAAGTTGACATTTAGAACTAAACCCGCTATACTACGCATTAGTAGGTGGTTACACTTGGCCACTTTCTAGTGTGACGGTAGAGGCGTGTCAAGTTTTTGGCGCCGTTACTGGGGATTGCTAGGTTGTTGAAGAAACGTGATAGGAGTGTCAAGTCTTTTCCTCATTGACTGTTTGCTTTGTCCCACTTGTGCCTTCACAGGTTTGCTTGCTTGGCTGTGTGCAGGTAGTGCATGACCCGTAGCCAATCGGGAGGTTTACTACCGTTAGATCCGGAGCTAGAACGCCCCTGTCGCCAACTAAGGAGACAACAGTGAGCAAGAATGGCTACAAAGGAAGTGCACGTCGACGACCATCTGAGCAGCGACTTCGAAGAGGAATACGAGATGGGCGACGAGCACAACAGGCGTATCATGCTCTACAAGAGATTTTTTTGGGATTAGAAGAAGGGGGCGATTGGCGATAGAAGAGGGTCTGATATGATATGATGAAGCATTACATGGCGAGTGGCGACGGGCCGATGGGGACTACAGAGTCAGTGAGTGGTAACGGCGAGAGTGGACGGCGAGTGGCTGGGTTGCGGGAGAGTGGAGACGGTCGGAGGCTCGGAGGTGGCGAGTTCGACGGGATTGGCGATGGCGAGAGTGCCACGACGATTGGTTGGGCTGTTGGTGAGTGGCGACGGTTGGAATTCAGAGGATCGAGGGTTGGAGAGGAGCGTCTGCTCGCGACGGTTGAGGCCGTTCTCCGATGTTTGTGGGCTTGCGGTGGCGACTGCTTGTAGCGGAGATTGGCGTGTTAGGGATTCGACGGGACAATTTTTTGGAGATGCTAGTCAACCCGATTATCACCCTTTTTAACACCAAATTGGTGTCGTTTTGATGGAATTAGAACATTTTGGTTCCTTGCTTGGAATCGTACAAAAACGGTACAAAAGCGCGTTTCTACACGGTTTCGCCAATTTTGACGATTCTACCTATGCTTTTGACCGATTTTGAGTACACAACGATTATATGTGTGAATTAAAGCGTTTTACTACCCTAGATACGTAAAAATGTACGATTCTACGATTTAAAGCGCGATTTTGACTGCATTGGCAGAATCAGCCCCTAGGGATGCCCATGTAGGTTCCCCAAGTGAATCAGGTACTAGTGAACAACCCAGTTCCCCAGGAAGATGGGGCTCAGCATCCACCACCCCCTCCGGGCCCTACTATGGAGTACTACTACACTCCACGGGTCGCCGACATCCGCCTCGTCATCCTGTATCCGCCCATCCCAGCAAATAACTTTGAGATCAAGCCATGTTGGATTCAACTGATCACATCTTCTATCTAGTTCCATGGATTGAAGGATGAAGTGGTGAGGATGCACCTTTCCCGGTTCATGCAGCTGACAAATGGGTTCAAAATGAATGGTGTACCCGATGATGAGATCTGTCTCCACCTTTTCCCCATTCCATGGCGGGGCATGCGAAGCGGTGGTTAGAGACCCAACCTCCACTGTCCATCACGTTATGAGTCACTACGTGATGCTTGGGAGCGGTACTCGGGATTCTTCTGGCAGTGTCCCCATCACAGTTTCAGTGATGCATTCACAGTGGGGAATTTCTACAACGCTGTAACCCGAGAGAGCAAGTGGGTGATCGAGTCTCTATGCCCAGAAGGGGATATTCTCATCAAAACTCCACTCGAGCTGAATCAAATGATCTGTACTTTGGCTGCCAGGGATCATTCTTAGGGGCAGAGCACCAGAAGCAGGAGTTCCCGGGACCCAGGTGTGCATGACATGGAGGCTAGATCCGGGCTAGAGTGGGAGTTGGCCGAGTTGGTCCAGACATTGAAGCATCCCAATAGTCTTATTCCGGGCAGAGGGTTGGCCAGGCCTTCAGTTGCACAATGTCAGTGGTGTGAGAGTTCGAACCATCTAGTGGAAGACTGCCAGGCTATGTGTGAGTCTTCTACACCCCAGGAGTAGTTGGACTTCATCGCTAATGCTCGACGCCTTGACCCTTACAGTGGAACATATAATGAAGGGTGGCGCCAACATCCCAACTTCTCTTGGAATAGCAATAATAGAAACACCACTAAACCACCTGGTTTCCCAGCACCAGCCGGTGGTTTTCAGCAAAGGCAACCCTTCCAGGCCCGGTAGGGTCCAGTTCCACATCAGCAGTCTTACCAGGCCCGGAAGGATCCATTTCCGCAGTTGCAACGCCAGTATGCCCCGCCACCAGCAGCTCCAGATAATCAAATAAAGGAGCTGAAAAACATTCTGCAGGCATTCATGACTACTAGTCAGTCGAATTTCGCCAGGATGGACCAGAGCAACAACTCACTAGAGGCAGGCTAGAGGAACCAAAGTGCCATATTGCAAGACCTCTAGAATCATATTGGAGGAATAGCTCGCCAGAACAATACCAGGGCACCGGGAACTCCGTCTGCCACCACCATCCCCAATCCTCGCGAGCCTCACTAACAACTGAATGCCATCACTACTAGGAGTGGCAGGACAACATCGGCGGTACCTGCCCCGGCCAGGCAGGAGGAGCCACTACCTGCTTCAGTACATCCAGCCGACGATGCAGAAGTAGGGATGGAGAGGGAAGCACCTGCTCCCAAGCCACAGCCAGTGGTTAAGGAGCATGTCCCCCCAGCTTCCCTTCCCCACTCGACTATACAAAGACAAGCTGGAGACTGAGTCTTCCAAATTCATGGCAATGCTGAAGCATGTCAACATCAGCCTCCCATTCGTGGAGGCACTGTCGAAGATGCCTGTAACACCCCACTCTAAAATCATGGGTCGAACCAATGGTTCAACCACGCAGCGGAAATCACTCGGGGTTTACGATTTCAAAATCTCGACTCAACTCACATCCACATCATTATCATATGTTTAAAATTCAACTCATCATAACAATTTACTAAAAATCGCTTTCTCAATTCATTAATCAATCTTCCTCAAAATCAGGACTCACATAACCCAGACTATCAATCTCATCTACTCCATTCATACTCAACTCAAGTTAATGATCATACTTGACCAATGTAAACTATCATGCATGCTCAAAACCCGAATCGTAAAATAAGGGTTCTAGAATAAATCAATAGGTGAAAAACCTTTTAAATCAAAATCCTCCATCGATCATTGTGCAGGGCCAGAGTCATCCTCAATTTATCACACATGTCACATCTAGAAAGAAAAATGGGTCAGCTACTAAGCTGAGTGTGTGGACCTGGCCTATACGGCAAAACTATTGTTAGCATGCCATCACATCATCACATCTTGTTGTTTAAAAACACATCATCAACAAATTATCATGCCACACGAAAATCTCATTAATCTCTAGATTTATTTCTAAGTCATCAATCCAAATTCATCTTTAACTCAATTCCTCATGGTATGACTTTCATTAATCAAGTCGTATATCGACATAAAATCGTAAACTTACCTCAACTCATGAATCTATCATATCAATCCTTCATTCAAAGTCAATTCATCATTTGAACATCAAACATATCAATTGTTCATCCATAATCAAATCACCAATTTGGAAATAACCATATCAATCATTCATCCATAATCAAATCACCAATTTGCCATTAACCATATCAATCTTTCAATCAATCATCAATCGAATATAACTTCACGATTTTCCTTTATGGAAATCATCTCCATCATATATATCATATGCAATGCATGAAATGCAGACTCTCCATTTGTTATTAATTTGCGCGCTAAGGTCACCATACGCCCACCCCGCTCGAGCTCATCATCTTAGTGGTTATATAAAAAAACCACAATCTCATCCAATCTAGGATTATCATAAATCCTTTCATTAGGACCGCAGCCCAATCAATCTCATAGGGGTAGGCATGGGCCCTTCTATGTCTATGTGATTTAACATCATCAAACAATATCAATTTTTCTCTTCCATCATATCTCAATCGATCCAAGAAATCAACAGCGTCCCATTGATATTCCCAGTCCATGCATATCTCACATCATCTATGCATACTTTGATGCATTGCACGATCTCAATATAATCATCATCTTCTCAATGATATAAATAATTCATTCTCTTAAATCAAACTTGACAAATCTACCAAGTACTCAATTTATCAATACCTCATTCACTCATCGTAATCATTTAACATATCAAATACAAATCGATCATGATAATATCTCATCCACATCATCATTAATCAAAGCATTCATCATATCAACATTGTCACAAAATATCTCAGTAATATTTATATTTACCAATCACATTTATACCAATCGATATTCTAATCACTTCATACTCATACACGTCAATCGTACCATTATCACTCAATATCCATGTCATTATCATCATCATGCCATAATCATACATATCAATAATCAATATATATTTTATTCGTCATCAAATCATTTTATCATACGAACCATGTAATAACAATAAAAATATATCAAATTATCCATATCGTCCATTAACTAATTTCATCAACATATCAACTAAACATATTATGATCAAAATCTTGTTTTTATGAATTTATATTAATAACTTGAAACCATTCTAAAAAGGACCATACCCAATATATAATTCTCATGATTATCAATAGTTCATTTGAAAAGGTCTCCCTTAATAACACATCTCTCAATAATTATTTCTAAAAGTACCATCTACCTCATCGTTCGTCAAAATACATTAATAAGATTAGCTTCAATATTTCGATTAAATACTCAATTAACTATTGCTAAAAATTATTCTTAAAACGTAACTTAACTTCAATCTTAATTAAAATATCTCGTGATAATCATCTCACCATCATACTCAGTTTATAATAATTTTCCCTTAAATCGCCATTATTCTAAAATCGTAATATAATCTCTTTAATAACAAAACAACATAGAAACCGGTTTCATCCATCTAAAAATCGAACCAAGATCACAAATCCGTTGCTATAATTATTATGACCAGAATTCCTTCTCGTATCTAATCCAATTTATAAATTCACAATTTCAACCTTTTTAAAGTCATAACGCCAATTAATTCCAAAAACTCAATTATTACCAATATAATGATTCTCATGGTAAGATCTCATGACTAAAACCAACTCTAAATTCCTTAGATTTCCTCTCCTCATTCTAATCTCAGTAAACATTGAAAGCAAATACTCGGTATCCACCATATACGCCAACAATTCGAATACGAGATTAATAATAATAATAATTATCATAATACTCAGTCAAATTCATCAACAATTTCATTCAATACCATAATCAAGTAGGAATCATAATTCCATCATAATCATCCATCATCAACTCAACAATCATGCGCATTTAACGACAACCACGTAATTCCGGTTCCCTTTTACCGTAAGCCCACACACCTTGTTTATGACGAAACTGATTCTGTGTCATCTCTGAAAATTCCAAATCTTGGTTTCAAAATATTTACCTCGTTCTCACGATCCTGTAGGTGAAGACTGTTTGTCGTTTGGACGTCAAACGAACGAATTATGAACGAAATACGAATTCCGTTAGTACTCAAAGTACCAGGGACTAAATACGAAATTTACCAGTCAATTGAAATGTGTTGACCCGTCTCTCTGGGAAAATTACAGAAAGGTCCTTTAACCTTTCGATTTATCAGAAATGGTACCTGGACTTAACAATTTTTGTGCCAAACTTCCGATGCTCGTTTCTCCCTCGTCCGACGTCGAAACTCAATTTCGTCGAAACGTGCACGCTCCTGGGATCTCCCTCTTCGCAACCATACCCATCTTTTGAAGTATGGTTG